TAATTTTAAAAAATCACGTACATAGAAGGTGGTTATATTTTCTCCTAGCAAAATTGCTCCTAGTTTACATGAGAAAATTAGTTCTACTGGTGATTGGTGACATTCTGTAAAGGATGCAGGACTTGTTCCACGTGATAATGCTACAGAGGTTTCGGTTCCCGAGCTGTTTTAGAATGACAGACATGAGCAGAGGCGTCGGAAAAACCTGGGGGCACCTACTGTCTCCCCACAGCCTTCCCCAGGCTCCCCGAGGCTGGCCTTCCTGGGTGCCCTGGGGAACACCGCTGAGCTTCCAGTGACCAGAGTCAAGAGGTCCCATGCCACTAGGTGAGGGTGACCTTCACTCCGCTGTGCTACGCAACTCCCAGGGGTATGACCACTGGGTTCCCAGGCACGGATAGGACTAGAGAAGAGGGAGGGCGCACTTACCAGCAACTACCAGGTCCTGGAATGGGGCTGCAAATTCTCACAAACGTTATCACAGATGTGAGCCCCCCAACAGCTCTGCGTTTTATATACGAATGTAATTAATAGGAGTGGTGTAATTATTAGTGTTAATTATTAACATTATTCACATTGCAAAGGGGATAATGAAGTTCAGAGAGAATGTGAGAGAGAGAGAAAGAGATAGAACAGTCAAAACATGAGAAGTCAGAGAAAAACTCTGTCTGATTTTAATAAAATATGCTTTTCTCATCAAAATATTTTGATAGCATGGGGAACGAGATGTGTGCTCATTAAAGTTTAATGACTGCAGCTCCCTGCCTTTTTGCGTGTGTGGATCACACACTCTGACTCACGCAGGGTGGGTGCTGGGGTAGTTAACTGGGAGCCCGACTTACTCCAATCCCAGTCTTCATCGCCACGGGGTGAACGGAGACTGGGTGGATCAGGATTCATCAACACGCACCCACTGGCCTAACCGCTCGGGCTGACGATGACTTGGCTCTGGGCAGGTGGGCCCGGATTGTTCCAGGTCGGCCTAGATTTACTCTAAAAAGGGAATTAGGTAAGAACAGCTGGGACCCAGCTGCTGGGCCACTCCAGTCTCAAGGCTGAGCTGGAGACTCCCAGAAGAAGACAGTGCTTTGGCCAAAGGCTTTGAAGAGAAGGAGAAAGAAAAGAGGCCGGACGGGTGGGAGGGCAGAGTTCACAGCACGTCACATCCCTGCTCTGGATCCTCACTGAAGAGCTTTGCCCACAGAGCCGATTATAAACCTCTCATCCAAAAATTGAAGGCGCATTTCAAAATGGCCCCGAGCCGCCTTTGTCGGGTCGTTGTCACTTGTCCCCTGTCCCCAGCCTCCACTCCAGCCCTGGCAGGCTTCTCCCTGCTGTGTGCCTGCCCCCGGCCCTTGCTGAAGGTTCTTTCCTAGTATCTGGAATGGTCTCTCCACCATCTCAACTGGCTGAATGCTGTCCCTCGCTGGGCATCACCTGTCCCTCGGCAGCCCTCACTCTTGATCCCCACTCCACTCAAGCTTGCGCGGTCTCACCTGCCTCGGACACAAACCACTTTGTGAAAGCAATCAGCGCCTCTGCTTTCTGTGAAGTTCCCTTGTGAGAACAACCTGGCCTGTCGGCTACCTGAACGGGCTTCCGAGTCAGGAATACCTGGGTTGAAGCTTTGCGCCACCCCTCATTAGGCGCGAGATCGCGGGCAAGTTACTTACGAACAGCAACAATGGCAATAATAGCAACAGCCACCACCTACCAGGTGGTCACTGTGACCCAAGCATCAGGCATCCACGGACTCATTAAATACTCACAAGAACCCTAGGAGGTGCGTTGCCATGACCTCTGTCTTGCCAATGAGAAAACAGAAGCCAAGGGAGGTTAAATGATTTTTTTCAGGGTTACAGGGTCATTATGTTGAGGAAACAGGCTTTGAACTCAGTTTGGTTCCAGACCTCATGTTTTGGCCACTATGCTACAAGGCACTACCCTCTGGGCCTCTCAGTTTTCTTATCTGTAAAATGGGGGATGCAGTCATATCCTCCTCATAGGATGCTAATGAGCATTTAAGAAGATAGTACAAGAGAATGCTCAATAGCGTAGTGCTTAATAAGCCACAGCTGCTGTCGCTGCTGGGCAGGTACTGGTCCCGTCCCTCCTCTTGCCTGTGAGCTGAGCAGGAGGCGGCACGTTCTCTGTCCCTGCAGCCTTCACCCTGCACCCGCACGCTCACCCCCTGCAGCCATGAGAGGCCCAGGAGCTGTGGGCCTGGCCCAGGTCCAAAGGGATCGAGAAGGGTTGGAGCACTTTCCTAGAATTTGGGGACACTCAGTAATTCTGGACCTCTGAGCCATGGTGGTTTTCTACTTTTACCGCATTTAGCTCCCTCTCCAAGTCCTGTTTTATCCGATCTATGCAACTCCTCTCCCCGAGGTCCCCGGCGGGGTACTTCGGCTGGATGTTTTCTTTTCATTCTCCTGTCCTCTCTCCTCCCCGCCTGCACCACGGCCCATATTTCACATCTCCAGGAGGCTAAGCAGCGTCCCAGGTCCCCAGCCCAGTAGCCAGAGTTTTGGAGTCAGGGCCTCTCACTCCGGGGTGGTCTTCAGGGTTTGAGGTGATTTACGTAGGAACACCTCTTCCGCCGTTTGGATTTAGTTTCTCCTTGGGGTTAATGGTTAAGGGACGTTATGGAAGGATGCCTCATCCCCTTTTTCTGAACAAACTTGTCACAGACAGAAGCCAGCAGTTCCGTTGGAACTGACGGCTGGAGCGCCGTCGAATGGCCCTACCTCTAAATAGGTTTCCTCCAGCAACGGCACCCCTGATTCCTTCCCAGAAACAAACACAAACGCGACTCTTTATTTAAACTGCAACCTCCCTGCCCAGGTCTGCTAACTTGTGGGAATAAGGTATTTCTGATTCTGCCCCTGGGGAATTAAATCGTGCTTTATGTAAACCCAGAAGATAACTCACAAATAATCCTTCAAATTAATAACGTCTAAAAGATGAAAGTTATCAGTTTCCTTCCTACCTCCAGTTTATTATCAGTGGTGCAATTAAATTCTACTTTCTGCTGTGGTTTGAGCACTTCATAGCTTGGGAAGGCTCTCTCCTGAGACCGTCGCAGGGACGGGCCGGCGCTTCATAATTAGGACAGCACGCAGCCTCGCCCTGGTGGGGAAGGGTCAGGGTCGAGCTCATGAAGGAGCCCTGCTCAGTGGCCCCACCAGGGTGGCAAAAGCTGCCTCCGCCATGCAGCTGGGAGAGGCCTGCGGGGACTGGTATGCGAGTGTGGAGGGAGCCGGCCGTGACAGGCCGCCTTCCTGGCAGGGCCTCTCGCTCCTCATGCTACTCGCTTCACATTCCCACGGGACAGCGGCTCCTCTGGAGCAAAGGCAAGCCCCACTTCTCGGTTTCACGTTTGTTTCTGACTCTGCCTGCAAATCCTGCACACTTCGTTTTCGTTCTGCTTCTTAAGGCTTCCTGTGCTGATGACAGTGCCACAGTGGGCCTGTGGGCGGTGACAAGGGTGAAAGAACCAAAGAGAAGCGATGATGGAGCCTTTCTAGAATGAAGGGCCTGGTGTTCTGCTCCTCGACGGGCACCACCTGTCTGTGATTTGGATGAGCCCTGTCTCGGGGGGTGCTCACTGTGCCATCTACACAGGACCAGTCCGTGAGAGCTGTGACACGAGCCGGTTCCCGGCCCTGCCTCTGCAGGCAGACGGCCTGGGGTGGAGGCCTAGCCTGCTGGCCGTGCGACCTTGCGGGAGTTATTGGACCTCTCTAGCCTTCGGTCTTCTCATCTGCAAAGTGGTGATGTCAGTGCTCCCTGCCTTGTGGGGTTGTTGAGGTTGAAAACACAACCATGCCCGTAAAGCGGTGATCACGGTGTCTGGAACCCGGAAGGTACTCAAAAAAGGCATTTTGAATGCTATACATCAGTTCTGAGCTTTATAAATGATTCACAGCAAAAGATTCATGAGAAACAAGGCCTACCCTCACCCCACCCCCCTCTAGGACCATTGAAAAGATGACAGGCTTTATGAAGCTCTGATTTACCCACCACTCTAGAGGAATGCCGCTTAGCAAGGTCTGTGCTAATCGCTCTTAATCACTTCAAGAACGTTCTCCAGAGACTGGGGAAGGACTCTCAGCCCTGAATAAGGGCTAGCATAAGATGTCACTTCCCTGGGTCTCTGCTGGAGTCTGGGCTCCTGCTTTCAGGACAGGAAGGTGTCTCAGGGATGTGGCCACAGAAACCACCAGGAGCTTCGGCTGTGGCCCTGAAAAGTAGGAGTGAACAGGCTCCTATATCAGTTTCCCACGCCTGTCCACCCTCATCCTCCTCTGCCGATTCCTTTGAGCCATTTGGGCAGAGATTTCTGGTGGTAACTGCAGAGGCAACGTTAAAACTATTGAACAATTGGGCAGAACCAAGCTACGGGGCTAGAAGTCAGAAAAGCGGTCCTCTCGGTGACGGATGAGGGCCTTACTGACTGCTCGGGACCTGAGGGAACTTTCTGGGGGTGTCGAAAAGCCTCCATCTCTTCACCTGGCTGCTGGCCGCAAGGTATACACACATGTCCAAAATCATCAAGCTGCGCGTTTTGATTTGTGCAGTCCGCTGTCTAGAGCTATACCCCAGTGAACAACATTACTGTCCAAAATGCAGGCGGGACGTAGTACGGGCAGCTCCCCTCTCTCATGGTCTGCCCGGCCCGTGTTATCCCGGAGACGCTGAGAGTTCTAAGTGCCCACAGCCATCGCTCCTTATCTTCCTCCACCAGTGTGTTTAGACCCACAGGGGACATTTATATCCGCAGCCACAGCCCTACATTCAATCTGGAGAGGAGAGGAGAGTGTTCTACGTGCGTGTCTATATATAGGGCAGTTTACTTCTTTCAAAGAACAAGAGGTCTCTAGCTCCACTGTGTTTTGTTTTTGAGCAGACACTCCTTCACACACACGCCCACTAAGCCGGGGGGCCCAGTCAACAGCCTCGCCTTTCACCCTCGTCTGAGGTGAGACGCTAAGACTGACCTTGATGACAACCGTGGGGATCGTCAGCACCGTGGACTTCTGCTTGGCCAGGACATCCCTGGTCTCGTTGACGCGAGCTGTGACGAAGAAGTGCAGGGACGCCTGTTCCAGCAGCTGGCCCATGTACTCGCCGGCTTGGATGAGCACCTCTTGCTTCTTGACTGGCAGGAGGAAAAACAAACAGGCCCAGCATCAAGACCCGAGATGGGGTCTCTTTTACTTTCCCCCAAGGTCCCCCGTCCTTCCCACGTTAGCGCAGCGGCCCCCGGAACACAGCACAGGCGAGGGGCAATGGAGTGCATCAGGACCAGCTCTCTGCTTCTTGCTCAGAGAATGTGCCGGACATTTAATATTCAGCCAAGTCTTACTGGAGAAAATGTATCGAACTTTCCAAATGATGCTTTTGCTGTTGTAAAACGAAGGCCATGGGAAAGATGTTTCAAATGGAAGGCCAAGGTGTTTTAACTATGGCTTTGATTTGGGTAGGGTTAGTCCCAAAATGGTACATGTGGGGTGGTGAAGTTCTAAGGCCACCACTCCACGTGTTGACCCCTTGTGAAAAAGGAAATGTCTCATCCAGGGGCTACGCTTGGGCAAAACTGTCAACTATCTAAACTGTCCTTGTAGTGCTCCACATTTTCTCTCCGGCTTTTTCTGCGCCAATCTGATATGATTTTTCTACGTACAAGAAAGAAGCTGTTGGAACCAGTTCCCACCAAAGGCATCCAACCATCGCCAAGCCCCTCCCCAATTCGTAATTTAGAAGACCTCTGTGCCAAGTGCATGTTTCCTCAAGCCACTGATGTTAGTTTTTTGGTCCTGGGGACAAGCCAGTGGGGATGGTACTGGGAGGATGAGGAGTGGTCCTGGCTCCCCTCCCACCCCATCTGGCTGAGGACGGTGAATTCCAGCTTGTGGCTCTGGCCCCCTTCCTCTACCACTCCCATTTCCCAGAGCCCGGGATTCTAGAGCGCAGAGGGCAGTTCTTCTGCAAGCCAAGCCCAGGTGTGGCACCTGCTGCTACCTGGTCAGAGCCAGGTGCCTGTGCTGCACCCACAGCTGGCAGGCCCAGCAGGTGAATGGGTGACTCCTGCCTCCAACCCCACGCACAGGGAACAGACTCTGAATGCCCACAGAGCTGCAAATCTCCACTGCTTCCCTGCCCCGGCGTATGGCTTCCTGCCAAGTTACTGCAGGAAACAGTTCCCCTGGCCGGTAGCTGAGTGCAGGGGGCAGTTCACTTAGCCTACTGCACTGAGCAGCAGTTGTGGGGAGGGCAGGATGCTGCCTGTGGGTGGACAAGCCCCAGGGCAGGGGGAAGGGCTCTGCTTGGCACTGGCTCACAGGTGAGTGCGTATGGAGCTGTGCTCGCCACCCGTGGGTGGACTCTCATACCTGGACTGGATCTGCGGCAGCTTGCTCCAGACCTTGAAGACCAACGAGCCTGGGAAGGCCTTGGGCAACACCTCAACTTGGAAGTCTCTTTACAGACGTGCAGGTGCTGTGCCAGCCTCCAGCCTTCAGACTGAAGAGGTCTCAGTCCTGGCTCTATGTCACAATCCCCCAGGGACCCTTAAAAACCTGCCATGCTGGATCCCAGCCCAGACCAATTAAATCAGAGCCTTGGAGGTTGGGGCCTAGGCATCAGCATTTCTAAAAGTCCGCAGCTGCCTGTGATGTGCAGCCCGGGTTGAGAAGGCCCGCTCCAACGTCCAGGGGTCCCCACGGAACCAGCCTTGGAAGCCTTGCTTCCAGAGTGGGTGTGGCCCTTCCAGTTGAGGCCCTGGCTGGTTCCCAATGCAGGGGCACCGCGACCATGTCAGGTCAGCCGCACCATGTTAGAGATGCAGGTTCTCTGACACCTCCCTGCGGTGGGAATCAGGATCTGCATTTGAATGAGGTCCTAGAGGTGCCCGCTCAGGTGTGAGCAGCTCTGAGAGATGGGAGGTTCTAACAAAGTAAGGCGAGGGGGTGGGGGGTGGGCGGGTTAGGGAAGAATTAGGGTGGACTCAGGAAGGTCTGGGTTTGAAATTCGAAGTCCTGCATCCCTGGGACCCCAACACCCTTGGCAAACTGGAAAGGCGGGTCATCCCAGCCTGGTGGTTGTCCATGGAAGGCAATTTTGCCCTCCTTCACCCTGGGATGTTTGGCAATGTCTGGAGACCTTTTCGTTGCCACAGCTGAACTGGAGGGTGGCTTACTACTGGCATCTGGTGGGTAGGGGCCAAAGACACTGCTAAACGTCCTGCAGTACACAGGACAGTCCCCACGACAAAGAAATATCCGGCCCCAAATGTCAATTTGCTGAGACTGAGGATCCCGGCCCTGGGCCATGCAGATTATTAGGTCAATTCTAGGCAAGCAGTAAACAACTGGCTTGGTGCTATTCCACTTAGAGCCAGCTCTTTGAAGCTATGACCTTGCCTTGATCTTGGCCCCTGAATTCTGCCTTTTCAAATGACCCACTCATAATTGCCTTCTTTGGACCTGAACCTGGACCCTGCTTCCTTCATGGCTCCCTTAGCAATTAATTACTTCCTCCATCCAGATGAGGGAGGGTCTGGCTCTCCCCTGATACAACCTCAGATGAGGACAATGTGGTTCTTCATGTTCCCGGATCTGGATGGATGCAGTGGCAAAATGGCAGGCCTTAGAGAACATGTATTTTGCCTCCAGCTGCCTCCAGTGATAATTTTTTAAAGACAGACTTCCTGTGGCTATTTCTAGAGGGCTGTGTTTCACCACTGGGTTTCTTTGGGCTGGTGGGATGTGCCTGGCTTCTTTGCAGAGACTTTTGCTACCTTTATAATCTCGGCATCAGGACCCCTTTCTTCTCTAAGGTACAACACTCCCTAAGTCACAGCACTAAAGAAAACGGGCTGTGTTTCAGAGCCCAAGAGAACAGTGCTCCTGAAATAGTACGTTATGTAACTGCTGTGTTTTGCCACTGCACAAGAAATTGTTCTAGATAAAGTTTATTAAACGTGGCAAGGGAAAGAGGAATAGATTTTCACTCTATGTGCAGGGGGCTGGGATGCTGCCAGTATCGTTTACAGTGTCTGGGGAAAGCCAAGGGAGACACAGACTGGAGCTGCCTCATCTCTTTTCCAAAAAGCAAAGAAAACTAAATATAGCCAAGTGGAAATGATAGCACCTTTGAAGGTACTGGAGGTTTAAGTTATTCAGATCTTCCAAGCTGATTCTAGCACACACATTCCCTATAATTATCAGTCTGGAAAGTTCGCCTCCCATTTTGCTTAGAGAACTGTCTCTGCAATAGAGGCATCTAAGAATGCTTGATCAAGGTCTAGAATTATGTGGCTTTTTGCAATATTCTGCAATTTATTCCAGATTGCAATATGTAATTTATTGCATGCAGTTAATGCCACCTACCTGCAGGGCAAAGGAACAAAGAGTCTCCGGTTCCCTTCAAGTTATTCAGGACAAGCTCTAGGTTTGGCCAAGTGGGTGGGAGTGTGTTCCTACTGACTCAGGCGTAGGTTTGGTCAGCTGTCCCTGGATCAATGACTGATGTGATGAGAAGCATTCCATTCTAGCCCACTCACTCACATGAGCTCCTTCTTTAATTGGAGTGGAGAGAGAAGAGGAAGGAGATTGAGAGACAAAACTCTTGTGAAATGGGAAAAGGCTGGTGTTTAGTTCCCATCTAAAGATCTGGGCTGGACTGCAGGTGATGAGGACACAGGGGAGGTAACTGGCCCACCTGGGGCTGAGTTTGTCCTGAACTGGCTCATTGTCATTGCCTGAATGGGACTTGGGTTCTATTGTCTGCTTTGCCTCTAATTGCCGTGTGTGGCCTTGAACACATCAACTCATCTTTCTAGCTTCAGTTTCCCCCAATGTAAACATGTTGGAAGTTACCTTTATTGAAAGCCTACCATGTGCAAAGCATGTCATATATATTATCTCATTTGGTTTTCTCCACACCCATTTTCTCTCATAACACATAGCCAATCCATAAGCCGCGCAGGTGGGTTCTACCTTCAGAACATACCCAGATCTGACCAGTTCTCACTGCTCCCCTCACTACCACCACCGCCTCTCCGTCGAATGATTGCAAAAGCACCCTAACTGGCCTTTAAGCTTCAGGCCTATTTCTCCTTTAGCCTCTTCTCAACACAGCAGCTGGAATGATCTTTCAAAACTTAAGTTAGATCATGCCACACTCCTGCTCACACCCCTCTGATGGCTCCTCAGCTCGCTTAGCATCAAGGCCAAGATCCTCACAAAGGCCTATAAATCTTTACGTGATCTGCACCCACCATGTTGCCTCTTGCCACCTTCGCCTCCAATTCTAGCTCCATGCTGCTCACTGAGTATGTTAGACATGCTCTGGCCCCAGAGCCTTTGCACATACGGTTTCTTCTGGCTGGAATGCTTACTTGTGCCCTTCTGTCAGGTCTCTGTTAAATGTCACCCTATTAGAGACATTTAACAGAGACTGGCTGCCCAACTATCCTACTGCCGCCAGCACTCCCTGTCCCCTCTACCTGCTTTACATTTGGTATCACCCATATAACCATACTACATATTCACTTGTTTGATTCCTTACTGTCTGGTTCCCCCACAAGACCAGAAACTCCATGAGGGGAGGGCATTGCTACGTCTCCAGCACAAAACAGGGTCTGGACTTGCAAGCACTAAAGAAGGGTTTGGGAGACCAATCTGCGGTGTGGGTGGGTTGTTCTCATTTACAGAGGAGGAGAGAGAGCTCAGATCGCTTGAGTACCTTGTCCAGGGAAACAGCTGGTAGGTGACACAGCCGTCCCTTACATGCAGAGTTGTCTGACAGCAAGGCTCAGGCTCTCTGAAAGCACGTGTGGCTGCCCGTTCCAAGCAACCACGGCGACTATTGTCGTCTTCAGTCCTTTACGCTGACTCTCCTTTTCTATGGGGACTCCCTTTCCTACCTCTAGGAAGAGGAAAAGTGTCAGATCTTCTAGTTTCCAAAAAAAATGCCACGGTGATTTGTTAATTATCACTGAAGCTAGGGAGATTTGCTTCAAACCTTTAGGTTAGAGTAGTTTTCTTGGAATTAGAATTTTTAGGAATAGTTTCCCATTTTTCTAAACATATTTCTCTAAGGCTTCAGCAAGAGTACTGTGGGTTGTGACAGCCACCAGACACAGAGAGCTTGAGAACAACTGAGACATGTGGTTTGGTCATCCCAGGGGGGCATATTAGTCCTGCTGTCTCTGCTTTGTAAAATTATTTGGATATCTTTTTTTTTCTGTTCTTCTTTTTTTTCAGTGCCACATGTCAGGTCAATGGGAATTGGTGCCCTGAGGTATTCAGGTCCTTGCAACCTGCTCTCTCCAACTCGACACTCCCTGCCTGGAGACCGGCTTCCTCCAGTTGACTCATTTTGCCAGTCATGTGCCAACTGTTGTGCCCACCAAGTACTAGCACCCCAAGAAATGAGACTGGCCAAAATTGTAATCCCCAATGTAAGCAGTGGCATGCAGATCCTAACCTGCTTAAAATATTCCGCATTTTTATAGTGATGAAAATGCTTGGAAGACGTGAGCAAGAGGATGAGAAGGAGGCCCATCAGAGATGGCAGAGAGAACAAAGCCATCCACAGGGTCCTGGAGGGCCATCTCCAGGGATGAGATCTCTCCCTGCCTATCAGAACATTTTTAAGAAACAGTCTACATGCAGGCCTTAGATCTCCCTGCTTTCTAGATGGTAAGACAAAACACACCATTCCTTCTGGGCAGCCCCCGAAAGACTTCCCTAAATCAGGAGAGAGGCACCGCCTGAGAGCCCGTTTTCTGAGACGGGTCATTTAGATGTGTGCTTTACAAACTTTCCTGTGCACTGCAGTCCCCTCGGGATCTTGTCAAAATGCGGGTTTTGATTCAGGAGGTCTGGGGTGGGGCCTGAGATCCTGCATTTCTGATAAGCTCCTGGGAGATGCTGATGGCCCTGGTCCCTGGACCACACCTTGAGTGGTAAGAAGTTAAGTTCCATCTACTTCCCAGGACCCACGGGACTCTAGGCTTTGATAATCTCAGCATTTACTTCTATGCATCAGACGTGAAGATGAAAGCTGAGGCTAGTCTAGAATAGAGGGTCACGCTCCTGAGCCCTGGGAGATAACGTCAACTTGCACAGAAAGCTGTCCTAGCGAGGCAGGGAGCCAGACAGCAAGTCCTGGAGAGAACGTGCCCTCGTTAGCTTACAGGACAAGGGCTCCAGCGTCACTTCGAATGTCTCCTTCTTGAATTCTGCCTTCGCGACCCCGGTGTAGAAGGTGATGCTGCCTGAGAGATAGGCTGAGACGGTGTAACGGCTGGGACTGTTGTTCTGGAAGGTGATGGTGAGCTTGAAGTCTTTCCCCAGCACGGCATTTTCCACTTCGAAGTCCATGTCTATGTTGGACCTTGGTTTGACGACACCTTCTGTGTTGAGAGGCTTTTTGGCTCCATACATCAGGGCGGTTTCTAGGGCCAATCTCTCTTCTTCTTGACCTAGGAGAGACCCAGAGATAATAACAGGGAAAAAGAACTACAACCCACCAAGAGAAAGTCGCATTAATAGACACATTGCGTACTGTGCTCACCCGAGTGTCTCCATGGCCTCGTGACCTCCCTGGGAGGCAGATGCCATCATTATTCCTCCGTCACAAATTCTGAAAAGTCAGATCCCCAGAGAGTCGGTGACCTGTCTAGGTGGCCGAGTCTGCAGGTGGCAGCGCCAGGGCCTATCTACAAAGGAGGTGTGCTAAGAGTTGTTCCTCTAGTGCCACTATTTCAGGGTTCAGCAGGTAAAATTGGCAAAATCCGACTCTTCTCAAACTGTGGTGTGCATTTGCTTCCCTTCTTGAGTCCTAGCCACGTGGCAAGGACTTGGGGACCTCTAAGCATCGATCGTGGAAATTATTGCTTCTTGCCATCCACTTCCTACAGTAAAAATTCTCTCCAATTTATGGATCCCCAACAAGACTGTCTTCTCCACCCTGCCTTCCATTTGGGCCTGTCCACTTGCTCTTTGCTGAGTTGACCCTGGAGGGCTCTGGTCCAGCCTTCCCCCACCTCCCTCCCCACCCCATGCAGAGATTGCAAACCACAAGCTGCCCCAGGACATTGGGCTCTGGCAAGACATTGACAGGCCTTCCCTGTCCCAGGGCTCTCAGGTCAGACTCCCGGAGGAGTGCTGAGCTGCCTAGATCCTCCTGCATGTCCCCCGGCTTCACTAGCCCGTCAGAGGTTCTGAGAGGAAGCCCTATAGCAAGGGGACCTACCTACTTTTCTTTAATGTAAGGTCTCCCAAACTCATGTGACAATGAATGTGGTTTCTGAGGGATATCTATTGGCTTGTGGCAGTGCACAAGTTCTAACGCTGTTCTAACGCTGTCTGACGTGTGTGTGCTGTTTTGAGGAAAATGTCTTGTGTAGGGTTTCCCACGTGGTCGTGATGGAGATGCAGGTGTGGGGAGAAGGAGAAGGGGTGAGCTCTGGAAGAAGAAAAAAGGAGCTGTGTGAAGTGAGGAAGCAGGAAACACAGACACGTGTCAGGCCTCAGAGCTTTGCCTCCGCCGACAGGAGGGACGGCAGAGCTTCGGAGAAAGTACGTGGCTTTGGGGACAGGGCTGGTGGAGGTGCAGAGGGGTGGTGGCCATTCCGTTCTCCATCCTAAATAGCTTTGGGTTTATCCTTGTGCATTGTGGAGGACAGACATGAAGACATGAAGGCAAATTCTTTGGCTTGTAAAAGCTGGTCGTGAGAATGGCTAGCAGAAAAAAATCACTTTAAAATATGAATTCTGGCTTTTATAATTATGTTAATTCTAAGATATTGCCTTCTATTTTACCTAGTTAATAATGAAATGCAGTGGTGATTAAGAGGCCAATTAATCACAATAACTACCACGGAGCGCTGTGAGCCGAGCTTTGGGATAAGTGCTTTTGTGAATTATCTCATTTAATCCTCATAACAGCTCTACAAGGTAGGCACTGTGAACACCATCAGTTTCCTTGTTTGGGAAATAAGGGCGCCTGCATCCTAGGGGCGTTAGGTGGATTAGAGGTGGTAGGTGCATAATAAGAGGAAGCTACTCTGCAAAGGCAGAGAAAATGCCAGCAGGTGTTGTGTGTGTGTGTGTGTGTGTGTGTGTGTGTGTGTGTGTGTGTGTGTGTGAGTGTATTAACGATTCCCCTGATTGTCAGGACTGCAAGGATGTGCCAGAAACAGCTGGCCCAGGACAAGCCTTGGCTGGAGTTGGCGTTCACAGATCCACAGGAGGAGACAGCACTGAAGCGAAGGAGAGGCAGGGCGGGGACGGTGCAGTGGAGCATTTCAGCAGGAATCATCGGGCAGGCAGGTCCGTGAGAAGGAAAGCACCATCAATTTTCACTCCGGATGGGGGCCAAGTGTGCATTTAGGCACAACATAGGAGGCAAATCTGAGCAGCAGGAACCTGATCAGAGAGGGGCCGCCTTCGGGGAGAGGAGCCAAGCTGGCCCAGGCGAGGGACGGGGAGAGGGAGGCTTGCAGCGTGCTGTGAGCCACTGCGTGGCACGTGGCAGTGGAGGCACCTGGACCGTCCCTCTGGGGCAGCCAGGCGGGGCAGGCTGGGCTGTTGCGGGAAGTGCAGGCCCAGAGAAGAGGAAAGAACTGCAGGGTTCTCCCAGAGCCATAATTCCTGTTTCCTACAGTTACGCTCTGTGCTCTGGCGTCTTACATAATTCAGGGCCATGGGCGAAATTTTGCTGCTGTGAGACACTTATCCAAAGCCAGATTTTATTTTCTGAGATGCCTCTGTGGGAATCTCCAGGCACAAGGTCAAAAAAACAACTTAGCGTTAACTAGGATATAGTAAAAGAGCCCTTTTATGTTGGAAGAAACCTCTTCTTATTGTTTTGGCCTCAGGTCCACTGTCACCTCCTCAGTCCTCCCCCCTTACCCTGTGTAATGTGTCCCCAAACCCTAGTCCTCTCATCTCTCACTAACACATGCCTGTTTTCATTCTCCTTCCTCGTCACAGCACTAATCACTGTGTGACATCGTCTCCTCCGCTGGAATGCAAACTCCATGAGAACAGCGACGAGGTCTGACTTGTCCATCTCTGCCCGTGTCCCCAGGACCTGCCCTGCAGAGGATCCGAAGGATCGATGTTTGGAGAAGCACTTTGCTTTCAGCCAGAGGCAAAACTTTCATCTTTATAACAGGTACTAAATAGTCCAGTTTAGGACATTTTATGTTTAATTAAGCCCGCCTGTGAAAATGTCACCTCAGCGACCATTCGTTGGTCGTTTCATGCTATTGGAACCCCTATAATGTTCCAGGCACCGTGTTTGGCACAGATGAGAAACACGGGCTTTCCCTCACAGGTGTGGAAGGAACAGGTGAAGAAGGGTTGTAGCACAGATGTGTTCGTCACAGATGCTGGGACAGAGGTTGGCCCGAGGTGCCTGGGAACATGAGGGTGGCAGGGGACGCTTCCTGGAATGGTTTTTCCTACACAGCCAGGGCAAAGCCAGGGAGGCAGGTGAGAGCGTGGCTTGTTGGTGGCTCAGCTGGCTGCTGGGCAGATACCTGTGGGCACAGTCAGAGGTGCAGCGAGGGGGCGGGCAAAGGCCAGCTAAGAAGAGGCTTTGTGAGTTAGGAAGGGAATGCCCCCAAGGCAGGAAGAGAGTGAGGGCTTGGAAGTAGTGCTGCAACAGGCTCGGGCTTACATTGCAGATAATGTCACTTTGGCAGCAAGGCAGGGGTTAGACTGAGAGAAGGGGAGGATGAGGAGGGAAGGTGGGATGGGGAAGCTAGAGCAGGTATTTTTCCAGGAGAAAAATAATCACAGCCCAAGCTTACAGGAAGAGTATGGCAGCAATAACAGAACTACTAGCAGCAGTGGGACTAACTTCACTGGACATGTGCTGTGTGTCAGGCACTATAGGAAGGATTTTACACACCAGATACTGTGTACATTTTGGACAGTGATCATGGAGCTGGAGGGGAGGGGATGCATTCGAGGGGACATCCGGAGGATCTGCTGCTTGACTCACTCGTAATTTGCTAAATTTGGGCGGATGGTGGTTCTCTTCACCACGGGAGCATAGGAGAAATAGATCTGAGATGGGCGGAGGAGTGTGAGAAGGTGGCATTTGGGAATGCGGGACATTTGGAGACAGTCTGGGCAGAGACACAGACTTGGGGTGATCAGGATACATGTGAATGTTAACACCAGCTACGCAGGAAGGCCATAAAGTAGGTGGGAAGGATTGGGGCCTAGAATGGAGTGACATTCAGAGGGAAGGTACAGTTGCAGAAAGAGGGAAAAAGGGTCAGGTGGGCGTGGGGGAGCCAGGAGAGAGCCGAGCTGTGAAAACAAAGAGAAGAAAAGATTTCAAGAAAGGGGAGTGAACAACAGCACCGGGAAGTGTAGGCAGGTCGCGTAAGATGAGGTCTGTGAAGCAGCAGAGCCTGAAGGCTATGGGGTCGCAGGAATCAGGGTGCAGGACGGAGGGTGGCGGGTCACAAGTCCAGGCGGCCCTTTCGGGAGGCGAGAAGGAAGGCAGAATGGGGTGTGTCTGGTAGGGAATATAGTGTTGAAAAAGATTTTTGTAAATTTGTTTTTAAACACAGGAGACCCTTGAGCCTGCCTCCCTGGAGGGAGAAAATCGAGGAGAGGGGGAAATACTGGTGACGGAGGAGGTAACTGATGGAGCAAAGAGAAAATGAGGTCAAGATACCATCGTCAAGGAAGGGATGTTGCCCGGAGAGAAATTCTCAGAATTCTAGTTTTCAAAGTTTCTTAATTGTATATTTTGGAAAAAAGTTACAAAGTTAATATTAAGCTTTAGTAAGTTGAAAGTGAAAAATGATCTTTCCATGATTTAATTCATTATTAGAATTAATTCCTAAATCTAGTCATAATTTCTTCCCCATGATTTTACTCATCTCCATATTTTAGTGTCCAGTCAGCTCTCGCGGGTCAGGGAAACGACGCAAGCGACCGAACGGTGAAGATCAGGATGGAAAACGCACGGCCACGGGGCGGCCAGCCCCACACTGCGCGCCGGTCACAGACGACATTAGTCAGTCACCGTCTCCCAGCGCATTCGGGGGCAGGCGCAGCATCCTCACAATAGCATCCCACTCAGTGATTTCCAAAGTTAGGATTTGAAATGTGTACACCACCCTCGATTACGGGACTAACTATCCACTTGGGATCACACTCCAGCCCAGAGGCGAGGTGAGTCGTCTCTTACAACCGTCTATGTGGACTCAGGGGTTCTTCCCGCTGGACCAGACCCCGCTGTTCCTCTCCCCGGGTCCCGCCTTCTTGCCTGGACCTCAGGTGTCCTCCGCATGCAGAGTTAACGTGTTTTATTTGTTTTAATCTGGAGTCCACCCCTGGCCCAGCCCCCAACTCCTCTTTCGTGGACTGGTTTTTGGTCTTTCCTCTTTGTGGTCTCTGATCCTGTCCTGTTCCTGATTCGGCCTTCACTGTCCCCTCCACACCGACAGCCAGTGGCAGCTGCGCTCTGCCCTGTGGCTTCCGCGAGCTGTCCAGGCGCGTGGACAGCTCTCTTACTGCTCCCGCTGCCTGCCGCTCGCCTTTTGTTTTCTGCACTGTCTGGTCAGGACTTCTTCCAAAGTAGGGCAGTTCACGCCACAATCCCTGCCTTGCTACCTTTTCTTGGGGAATTCGTTCCCCAGCTTCACCTGCCAATCCTCGTCTACCCCTTGGGTTGAGTTAGCCCATCACTAACTCCCCCCTCGAGGCTCTCCCTGCCAGCAGAGTCTGCTTTCCAGTCCGTCCCTGCGCCCTGCCGCACCTGTCCGCCCTGTGTCAGAGCAGTTCGCACCCAGCACGGCAGGGCCACGTCTGCCTTTCCCTCCGGCTGGGTGGGAAGGCAGGGCTGTGCGTGCCTCCAACTCCGCCCAGCCCTGGATGTGGCAGGTGGTAGGGGCAAGCTGTCGAATGGATGAATGTATAAATGGGTGAATGTTGCAACTAACTTTTTCTACGAACCCTGCTTTTTCCCTTTCTAACCTTTTTGCTTTAACTCTATAGTAAGAGGGCATTGCTTGTTAGTTTTGTTCTATTGTGCTTGTATTATTTTTAACTTCCCTTTTAGGAAAAAGTCAAAAAGAAAAAAAAATCTTTCCATCTATGTGGTGCAATGGAAGAAAACCAACGGGAGAGGAGAGGGAACCATTTCAGAAATACGGTAAAAATTCACTAGTTCAGATGACAAAAATCTGCCATTTCTGAGACTATGCATAAGAGTTCTCAATTCAGCTGGCTTTTTCTTTATAGTGCAAATTGCTTTTGTAAATAAGAGCAGGGAAACTGTCTAAAATATTTAAAACAAATTCTGCACTCCTTAGCGCTTCAGGAATACCAATGAATATTTAGGTATATGGTAATTACTTGTCATTTTTATCCATTCACTAAAATAAATGCTGCTCCTAAGAACCTCTGGCAGTGAAGCATTTGCAAAATATATTCTGTGATCCCCATCAAGACACCCAAGGTCCTCCACTTCCTGGCTGCTACTGACCTTGGGCAGCTTTGTCTCCAGCCACTGGGCATTCCGTGCTTGATGCATCAGTAAGGCCTGCAGGACCCTAAGCACATGGGGCTGCTTTGCACCTCCTACCTCTGTTCATGTGCCCCCTGCCTGGAAACTTCTCTTCGGCTTTCCTGAACTCAGGTCCTCACTTCTTTCCTGGGCTCTGCTTTTTCTGAATCTCTTGATGGGACTGAATGTCACTCTTCCTTGTTCCCAAATCCCCCTCTGCATAATAATCCTATCAATTGGCCCAGGACAGAAACTGGGTCCTACATACTACTGGGGCCCTCAGCACCAAACCGATTGCAGACATAGAATAGATGGTATTGACTGAGATAGAAGTGAATTCAGAGTCGTTTGAAGCATTCTATACAATAAAAATTAACAAAACCTCACCATAATATTATTTTATAATTGAAATTGGCCTTTGATCTAATTGGCCTGAATTATGGTGACCGTATTGTCCTATTTATATTGTATTATCTACCTTGTAGGGCTTTTGTGATAATTCAATGGGACAATATATATGAAAATAATTTGTAAAGTACTAAATACATGTGATGTAGTTATTTAAATTTCTATTATGGAACTAAAATTACATTAGTTATACAGTATTTTCTAATAGGATTGTTTAAAATTGAGGTTCTTGTGGGCAAGAAGACATTCTATATTCTGTTAAAATAGATCTGACTTGAAACCAAGGCATTTCACAAGCCACATAAAGGGGAATTCTACTTGAAACAAACACAAAACTGCAAGAAAAGTCACGTGTGTGATGTATCTTTCACTCATGAGAGTTTATACTTATGCTCTTGCTACCAAATGCTGTAAACACCAGTGCATTCTCTGGAACACATCTCGGAGTGACAGTGAATTAGTACTAATTGGACTTGAGCAAATACATCTTCATTCAGTTGTAGTAAATTACCTTCTTGGAATTTGTAAGTATCAGTAATATCCTTCATGCCGTCTCCTCCGATTTCTTTGGTCACAATTAGTTTCCCAATGTGGGTGGCATCCACAGTTTCCACCACATGAGTGCCGTCTTTCTTAGCCGTGATGTAGACAAGGTCGCTGTTGACCTGGAAACAGGAGGGGACAGCATCAGCCATCATCAAATGTCCTTGTCACTAAAATCTCTACCTCTCCATAGTGTAGTCATCCAGAGATGCCTGGAGCTGACACGCTCCTTTCTCTGACGGCATTGGATACACAGGGCTAAGCTGATTTTACACATGTTCTGTAGGGAAATCCAGTTTAGATTCATCATCACTATTTTAAATGAAGAATTTTTGAGACTGTGGCAATCAGTTGTCTAAGCAGCAACCGTTTCTTTCTCCCCTTTGTCTTTCTGATAAATTCCACCTCCTAAGGGAGAGCTGACACCACCATGCCTATCACCTGCTTTCCATGACTTCTTTTAAGCTAGCAGTGGCCATGGACCCACATCGAGGGAGAAGTCTGCTAGATGCTTCTGGGAAAGATCTTTCTCCTTTACAAAAGGAGAGAGGTACACGGGAGAGTTTGCCCTTCCCTTCCTGCTTTCAGATACTTTCACGGAAAGTGAAGTGTCTCTTGAAGCTGCCGTAGCCATCCTGGGACAGTGAAGGGGAACCCTGCCAACAATCAGAAGACGGCAGAGGAGAAGGATGAGAGGCATCTGGGGGCTTGATGATGCTGTTAAACGGCTACGCCAGCCTTGGGACCAACCTCCTTCAGGATTTCTAACATGAGAAAAATAACCCCCCAACCATTTCAGTCATATTAATTCTGTTACTTGCAGCCAAAAGCATCTGAATTGAAAAACAATATTGGACCATTCAGGAGGAGTTCAGGCAATTTTCTGGTGGTCCAGCAACTACAATGTGCTACCTGTGGCACTTGGAAATAGCATCTGGGGGCCATGCTGGTGAGTCCCAAGTTCCTCCAGGGTTCTGCTTTATCGTTCTATTTTCAAAAGACAATGTCTAATCTGTGCCTGAAAGCTGATTCCCCCAGAGTCCTTTGTTGTATTTTTTACAATCACTTTCTTGGGGGTTGCATTTATTAGCATGGAAGCAGGTAGGAAACATGAATTGCACTGCTGACAGTCACCGATGTATTGATTAAATGTTTTCCAAGCTTCTCTCCAAGCCTCAGTCCTCCCCTCTTTAAATACAGTAATAATGCCTCTTTCCTCATAGGACAATTGGCAGAATTCACCGAAATAAATTAGTTATCATAATGCCTGGTATAAACACTCGATGAATGTTATTGATAATAGAATACTATTTAATAATATTGCCAGATATTGTTCAAGGTTCCGGGTTCCTGATGATGAACAAAATAGATCTGGTCACTACCATTACAGAGTTTACGCTCTAGTGACGGTGCCGCTGTGCATCAGAATCGCTTGAAGAAAAATAGATGCTTGATTAAAGAGGTCTTGGGTGAGACCCTAAATCTATTATGTTTTTGAAAAGGTCTCAGATAATTCTACTGGACGTCCAGGCCTGGAAGCCCCTGCGAAACGGTACAGTAAGTACCTTGAGAGGGTAAGTCCAAGATACTCTGAGAGCTCACGGGGCAGTTGCAGGGGAGCTAGGAAGTAACAGCCGAGTTGAAACCCCAGCGACGCAGAGGGGTTAGAGAACTGAGGAACAGAGGGAAGGCGGGACGGGATAGGCAGAGGGACTGGCAGGTGCGAGTGCGCGAAGGTATTTGAGGGAGGCACTGGATTAGCTGCAAGAAACTGGGGTTCTGATCGCAGGCGTGTACTTGTAGAAAGTCACGTTAACCTCTCTGAACTTCAGTTCCTGATTCTATAATATGAAAATGACTACACTTGCTCTGCTAATTTCATAGGAACATTTTAGGTCAGAGTGATATAAGATCTATGTGAATAAGACTTGCAAATTTCAAAACTGAGCAAAGATGTAACCGTCATTATTAGGGACTGGGGAAATGAGGTGATGTATCCCTGTCTTTTAAAGTTGAGGTCAAAGAGGGCAACTTTTCTCTCCTTTCTCACAAACGTTCTGAGGGTCTATGAAGTCTGATTTCCACTAAGGAGGAGATAGCCAACATTCATTGAATACCCAAAATGTTTCAGCGACATATTATAAAGGGTTTAATTTAAACCTCACAACAACAAGCCTGTGAAGTATGAACATGTATTATTATAACTGTATGACAGACGAGGGCACCAAGTCTCGGAAGGGGGAAGCAAAGTGTTTGTGGTCACGTGGCTAGGAGCCAGTGGAGAAGAAGTGCAAACCCCGGCGGGTCAATAGTTGTTGTCTTGACCTTGGCAGCACACTGCCACCCCTGCATCACCCCGCAGGACCACGGGCACCACCCTGAGGTGGGGAGATGGTTCTGTGCTCAGACTCAAATTTCCAAGGGTAATAAATGGTGGCTCTGCTCCCCAGCAGTCTCCAGAACTCGGTTATGTAGCCACACGGTGTGAAAGGCTGGAGTGTGCAATCAGGAATGAGGACAGGAGAGGACAGAGCAGATACCTAAGGAATATGTGTCGCTTTGGGAAAAAAAACGTTAAGGAAACTTTAAATGAACTGCCTGAGAATTTCGGCATTCCCTCTGGAGGAAGCCATGCAGGCACACACAGCTACCTCCCCCACTTGCAGATGATAGCAATGTGGGTGATAAATGTCCTCTTAATAACAACCCTTACAACAGCTTATGGGAGACAAGCTAAATATGACGGTGGCGAAATCCCGGGCGCCGATCGAGTATGGCTAAAGAAATTCATGTGGCTAAAATCTCAGGCCAGCCCAACAGCACAGCCCTTGTGGAGAGGACAGGAGAGACATACATATGAGTTGACTTTTATATATGTACATGAGGGTCGGGCATGGAGGGAAAGTATTATTTTCAGTTTCAGCCACTAGCACAGTGGTTCTCTATCCTGGATGCACAAGAGAATCACTGAGGGACTTAAATGTACCAGTAATAGGCCCCACCAAGACCAACTGACTCTCTACAGCAGAACAGTCGTTAAGTGCAGGGTACACTGCAAGAATTATTGGACTTAGGCTGTGTGACTTTGGATAAGTTACTGAATCTCTCTGAGCCAATCTACCTTGCAGGGCAGATAAGTAGATCAATACTACTTGCGAAAGTCCTAAGTTTAAGACTAATTTCTTTTCCTTCTTTTGAATGGGATGAAATCTTAGTGATCATCTATCTAGTCCTACCCATACACTTGAAGGGGCTACAGTTATGCCAAACCTGGGCATCCACACATGAAATCCAGTGCTTTCTTTGCAATACCACACCTTGCTTCTTAGACACAGGCACTTCCTACGCAACCTCCACCATTGTTCCAGGCCCTGGGGGCTCAGGAAAGCTGGGGTGGGCAGCAGGCTGCAGGAATGCTCTCTGCAAACTTCTACTTGTGCCCTTAAAATGTGGACACATATCCACGGCTGGCAGAAGCTGTGCTCATCACCACTGGAGAGGGAGACTCACTCTTGCTTTTAGGACCCTGGACAGCATTTGTTTTGGTTTGTTCATTTTATCCCAAGTGGAGATAACCTCATCTGCGTGGTCTGCCAAGAAAGTGCTGCTTCCCCGAGGGCATGTGGAGGCAGGGAATGCCTGCCTGGCCAGGAGGTCTTCCTGGCACCAGATCCTACCTTAATGGAGCTTATATTTCAGAAAGGAGAGAAATAACAGACACTAAGGCGGGGTAGGAGGAAACAAGAGGGCAGATAGTGATATTTTAGGTGGTGGGGGAGCGAACGAAGGTGTCTTTGCAGAGGCGAGTGACTGTGGGGAGGGATCGGGGCATGCAAATGCTTTTCCACCACAGGAGGAGAGAGCAGGGAGGGGCACCTTCTCAGCGAGAGGAGTAGTATGTATAAAAGCTCTGAAACGAGAGCAAGCTTGGATGCTTCCAGAAGAGTAAGAAGGCCAGTATGGCTGGAGGGAAATGAGCAAGGGATTTAGTAGAAGAGAAGCCAGGGGAAGGTCACACTGAATCCCATAAAAATGTGTGTTCAATTTTATGGTAAGGATGATGGTTCCACCGGAAGGTTTGGGGCAGGGGTGTGATGTTTCTGTTTACATTTTAAAGGATAATTCTGCCTGATTTGTGGGAGTACACAGAAAAGGGGTGAGAGAGGAAGTAGAGAGGTGAGTTAGGAAGTGATTTCATGGGGCTCAGTGGGCAGCTGTTAGATCCATGATATTTTTTGAAAGTTATTTCTAGCAAGATGCATGAGCAGGCTTAAGAAGAGAAGCCAACATAATTCCAACGTTTAATATGCTATTTGAATGAATGGTTGAATTATTTTTGATTCAACTAGGAGATGACAAAAATTGGGCTGCACCTAATAAGCGGTAGCAAAATAAACAAGTTTGGATTGAGAAGGAAGAATGCACAGAGAAGCATCTGCACAGGTTGTACACAGAGAACTGCTGGCCCGGAGCTGAGGAGGGCTTAGCCTCTGGAGCAATGGGATGGTTAACGTGGCCCTGGGGCGGGGGCGGTCATTGCTGCCGTGAAAATCGTCTGAGTGTCAGGGAGGGAAGGCAGGAGTACGCGCGTCTGTGAGTGCACACATGTGCAGGCGTGTGTGTGTGTGCGGTACTGTGTGTGTACGTGTGTGAAAGTCTGGGGTGGAGTAAGGTGAAGGGGACAATAGCCAATTAGAAAAAGTTAAGACAAAGAGAACCACCGTTACTAAGACAAGGAGAATTCTCTGCAGAGAACTCCAAGTGCTTGGTGAACACGGGACCTGGAGGATGACTCCAGACACGTAGAGCTGCTCTGCTGTCCTCTCACCTCTTTGGAAGCCTTAGGCCGCCATGAGTTGGGGAGAGCAAGGCAGACGGGCTTTCAGAACTGAAGCGACCAGCACAGCGATGAGGCCTGAGAAGGGAGGGGCTGGAGAAACAGGCTTCAAGCCCCGCAGAAGTCCAGGAATGCGGAAGATGAACTTCCAGAATGGGGGAGGAGAGAAGGCGCAGAGGTTGGGGTGCCTTGCAGGCACACCCCTCTCCTACTAGGTCCTGTTTTCACTCAAGGAGCCCAAGGCCCCAGGAAAGCTAAACAACAGTCATTGAACGTGACGCTGGATCTGGCTCGGAAATAGCAAGGAATGACGGAGACAGTCAGCAGGCTGAGAGGGAGGCAGGCGACCTCCCGCGGGCACCGGGTGGCGAGAGACTCACTGAGGAGCGAGGAGGCGGGAAAGGCGAGGGCGCCGCAGTCGCAAAGCCGAGTCACGTAGACTCGCATTAAAGTTTCCTTTGACGCCCCCCATGGGGTCCCACTTTGGGACCCTTGAGGAAAGACTCCTCATACGCTTCTCATCAGCTCAAGCGTCTCTTATAAACGGCTCAGCCCTGGAGCTCAGCCCGTGCCAAGCCAACAAATTGTACTCTGTCAGACACGCCTCCGCAGTGGGTGAGAGAGGAGTAATTATAACCTGCAAATCCTGGTGACATTCATAACACCCCGATCTACATTTAATAATAGCAAAAAACGTTCGCATTAACAGCTATTAGGCAGTTCGCTTGTGCGGGGAGGCCCTTCCTCTCTCCTTCTTTGCAGCAATAAAGTATAATAAAAAGATGAACACAGGCTTTGTGGATTTTAGAGAGATTTCCCCTTAAGAGGTTCTCAGAGCATCATAAATTACCAGACAGCAGCTGGGGAGGTTTGTATAAATCTTCAAATCCCAAAGTGAAATCAAGGGGATAAAATTCCAAGTCCAGTAAGCCTGGTCTCCCAGGGCGTCTACAACCTGCCACGACAGGTTCGGATGAGAGGAACACTGTTCCTTTCGTGTATTTCAGATTTCCGATTTCATAGCTCCCTGAATAGTGACACTTATTTTACTCCCTAAGTATTCTCAATCCTGCCTCCTCCTTCCCCTGCTGTTGCTGTCTGTCTAGTTCAGGGCCTTTCCGTCTCCAGGATGGAGGGACGACCTGGCCCTCTAGCAGCTCTTGCCACCTTCGTGACAATCCCTTCCAATGCTCCCTGCACGAGGCTGCCAGCGCCCGGCTCACACCCCTCCCCAGTGACAACTCTCCCTCGCTTATGGGATGAGGGGTGAATTTCTTGGGGCATGGGGTGCCCCACGCTGAGTTCCTTCAGTCTTCATCTTCTGACACCCCGGCTGCGCCCCTGGTGTTTAGTGAGTCTGCACAGCTCTCAGTTGCCCACACGTAGCTTTTGGATGCCCAAGTCGTCCCCTCTGCCTACAGCGCCTTCCTCTGGCTTCTTTGTGACCCCCTTTGCTAATCACCCCTCCCTCCCACGGGGCCCCACAGCTCTCCACCCCTATCTACTGTGGCCTGTGGCGATGCTCCCAGCATGTGGCGATGTGGCATTGCCACATCATCGTCGTCGTCTGTTCTCAGGTCGCCCTCCCTCCCCCGACAGTGTCTTGTGGTTTTTGCCATCCTATTTCAGTTTCTGGCCCCTGTTTCTCAGTTACTGAATCTGCATGCGTAAATGCAGGCCGTGTGTCACCTCCACTGCTCATCTGACAATTAGTTCCGCAGCATTGCTTATACTGTCGTTATTTCACTTTCGGTGTGTTTATGTCCTGTCACCTCACATCTAGAATTATGTTTCTTTAGGACATGAGCCTCTGAATTCCCCCAGCACAGTGCCTGATACGTATTCTTAACAGTAATAACTATTTATTCCTTGTAGAGTAGTAGAGTGTAGTGGTTACTAGTGTGAGCTCAGGTGTCTGCTTGGCTTCAAATCTTAGTGCTGCTATTTATTAGCTAGATGATTGTGAAAAGGTTACTGAGCCACTCTTTGTCTCAATTTTCTTTTCTGTAAAATGGGTAGAATTATGATACACATTTTAAAGGGTTGCCGAGAGCATCCAATGGTAGACACAGTGAGAGACACTATTTCAGTGTATTTATTGGTGCAAATGTGCTCTGGGGAAGTTCTGCCTCTCAGCCTTGCACACGCCCCGCCCCTCCCAGCAGCCTCCCAGCCTTCCCCTTTACCTGACACCTCTTACCTTTAATTTGATATTCAGGGCTCTCCTTGGAGCATCCTTTAACAGCCACCTCTGCTTCTGGCCCCCACCTGGTTCTTCCAGAATTTCAGGCCCTTCACCCAAGTGTCCCCATCAAACCATTAGGTGGGCTGCACTCCCCAATCGGAGCAGACCCCTGCACTTCCCTCCCTGCTTAGCAACTCAACTCTCCTCCACCTCCCCCGGCCATGGGTGACAGCTTGGAATGGCAGGATGTGGATTGCATGGCCCAGTCTAAGACCACGGATGGTGAAAGCGTGTGGATTTTGTTTTACGTGGATTGCTGGGTTAGTCTCAGAGGGAAGCTGTACTCTCCAAAATTTCAATTCCTGGACCACCTACACCACTATTCAGTTGAGTGATCCAGTTAGCCACTCAATTTCTCTGAAGCAGTTGATACCTACTTCTTAGGTGCAAAGAACTAAGCTAAGTTAGTAAAGCATTCGTTTTTGGGGGAAATAAAATCTCAAAACATCAAGGAAAGAAAAATGTTAAGTAAGAATTGCATTTAGCATTAAGAACCTGGAGGTTGGAACGATGCCAGTTAACTTTGTAAACACAAAGCATACACCACATACCAGGGACATCTAAAAGTAACAACCTCTACCTTATTCTTTCATGAGTTAAAAGGTTGGGGAGGGAGCAACACTTCCCTCCAGCTCTTCACTTACCTCTGCAAAAACAAAGGGCGCATCGAACTGGAAGCAGACGTGGCCGTGCTTGATGGCTTGCACAGAGGCGGGGCCACACCGATACATGCCTGTACCACACAGAGGAGGAGTGGAGTGAGTACGTCATCTCCAATTCTGTCCAGATGCTGCTCGGTTCCTAGCACTGAAGGTGGCTCCATAGAGACCGGCGTTCCCAATGTCATCATTGATTTAGCCCATACACTCTACGGCTTGAGAGGGCAGATGACCAATGTGTGGAATCAAGACGATTTTGTTGGCAATGCCTTCTCAAAGCAAAATTTGAAGCCGTGGAAAGAAAACGGGGCAACACTATTCCTGGACCTGCTCTGCCACTGCAAACACATGCCCGAGTGTTCGTGCCAGGCGGTTGGCTCACACAAGCGTTTATCCCTTTTCACCTGGTGTCTGAAATGTGGGAAATGTTGATGCGTCCTTGGTGGCTGTGTTGCTGCTGTTGTTTGTCTTGATTTTTGTCGTTCGTGTTTGGACATATGTCAGGTTTAACTGGAGAATTTGGACCTTAACCACACACATCGGCCAATGTCCGAGGCACATTCAGGAAGTCAGGAGGCCCATGTTACTCTTCTGAAATTCTTTACATTTTAACCACCTATCCATAGCTAATAAGAGATTAGCCGCCCCTAGTCACCTCTGAAGTCTCCTTGTGATATATTATCCACAGCACCAGAAAGTGTTGAGCTTTCTTCTTTAAAACCCAGTACGGGCCGGGCGCGGTGGCTCACGCCTGTAATCCTAGCTCTCTGGGAGGCCAAGGCGGGCGGATTGTTTGAGCTCAGGAGCTCGAAACCAGCCTGAGCAAGAGCGAGACCCCGTCTCTACTAAAATTAGAAAGAAATTAATCGGACAACTAAAAATATATAGAAAAAATTAGCCGGGCATGGTGGCGCATGCCTGTAGTCCTAGCTACTCGGGAGGCTGAGGCAGGAGGATCGCTTGAGCCCAGGGAGTTTGAGGTTGCTGTGAGCTAGGATGAAGCCATGGCACTGTAGCCCGGGCAACACAGTGAGACTCTGTCTCAAAAAAAAAACAAAACCCAGCACGATAATACAGTTCCATTATGAATATGACTGAATGTTGATGCATCTGTGCCTCCGTGTACACATCAACATCTCATATCAACACCTGAGGGAATAAACGTAATGTCCCCAGTCCACTCATTTTTTATATTATCATATTAAAGAGAGGTGGAGGCTTATAATGTGATTTTACAAAAATTTGGGGGGAGGTCAGAGCTGCCACTGCTTAGCATAGTTGGCAAGTTAGAAGACAAATACCCACATCTGCAAGCTTTGGAAGAAATCACACAACATAAAAAGAAATCAGGTTCTGGAAAAAAACAATCTAAAGGATGATCTATAATTATTTTTGAGTTCTCTATTTTCTCTACTGCCTTATAGCTTAGCACGGTGTATCAGGGAGGGCTCGAGTATATTTTATAGCCTAATAAAAACGCTTACAGATATTTTTTCTGTCTTCAAAACTGCTTATCAAAGCAACAGTAAATGAATTGTATGTGTTAAATTTTATATTATTTTCCTAAAAGTTGTAAAATAATCAGGGTAGAGCTGACTATTGAAATGAAATTAAACCTGATTCGCAGGGAGTTGTGCATGTGCCCAGAAAGCACATTTCAGATGTTGGTTGTGGATGGGTGTGGTTCCCACGTGTCAAATGCAAGCATAAAAGTGAAATAAAGATCAGTGATGACAAAGCAATTCCCCAGAGGGAGGATGCAGTTTTACCGTCGCTGTTTTCCTGGGGGGTGCTGTCCACGGCTTGCCAGCCTCCAAATCCCACAGGCAGGTCAGGCCTTGTCATCCACGCTTCATTCCAGCAATGGTAGTTCCTTGGAAAACACAACCCAGGAGAGATTACAATTCCCATGGTATTCAATGCTTCAAGAAATCAAAAAGTGACCCTAAACCCTGTGCATATGCTATCTACAGATTCCTGGAATGGATTAAGCCACATTTGGGGGTTCCAGGAGATACCCTGGGTCTTCATATTTGCGTGTGCTGGGAACATCCATTCCTGCTGGCATCGTGGGGATGCTCACATGGCCGGATGTTCCTCTCCCCCTGCTAAGATCAGCTTCAAGGACACCTGGAGATATTTTAATAAGCACATTAGACAGTTCTGATCTTAACCATTCTCCGCTGGCTAATAAAACAGAACTTACTATGTGCTGAAGAGGTAGAAAGAAAAGTTAACTGAAACGGAAATACTTATCTTTGAATTTTTTTATATAGTTCTGATTTAGAAAAGCGCATTTCTTTGCAATAATGAAGCAATAAATACTTGTGTTTATGGTCTTCGACCATTGCCATAGAAACTATAACATTAACTACTGACTGTATTTCTCTGCGATTTGTGGCAAAATTCCATATGGTGTTCAGCAGGAAGAATAGTTGTCAGGGTGAGTGTCTCTTCACCCTTCATCGAAGGTGGGCAAGCTAGGAGTTAAGGGCCATGCAACACTTCTCAGAACTTTGTGTATGATCCTTGAAGCAAGAGCATGAAATAAAGTGCCATCGTGAATTGTATTATTATGTCCTTGGAAAGACCTGAAATTATATGACGGTACAGAATCAAATGAGAGCACATTAACCCCTCAGCACTATAGAAAGTGTTCACACAGTAATAACGATTTAATAACGGGGGAGGTAGTTACGGCAGTCTTTGTTTATAGCACTGAAGAATTTCAGATCCAACTACTGTCGATCCTTACTCTGGACGTCCTTCAATGTCACTAATTCGTGCATGTTCCCATCTTTCTCTGAGTGCAGCCCATTTCTGATCAGCTCAGTTAAGGGATATTCATTTAACTATGTGCCTCTTATGCACCAGGCACCTTGCTAGGTGCTGGAAATTCAAAGCTGACCCAGACATAGATTCTTGCCCATAAAGACCTCCCAAGCTGGAAGGAATGACAGACGTGTAAACCAATTATAGAAACAGGTCATAGGTTTGCTGTGGGGCTTAAATAAGCTAATACATGCTACTATTTAGAATAGGGCCTGACACGTGCTCAAAAATGGCGACTCTCAGACTTTTAAAAATCATTAATTGCAGTGATGCATGCTAAAATGGAAGTTCATTTTGAGCGCAATGGGGTCTCAGCAGGCACAAATCTCAGGGTGTTCGGGAAGGCTTCCCAGCAGAAGTGGTATTGACCTGAGTCCTGGAAGACAAATGGAGTTTAGAAGTTCAAAAAAGGAGGAAGACTGAAGTTTCAGTGGCATGAAATAGCCACCACGAAGTGTCGGGGAACAGTCTGCCACTAGCTGTGGCTGGAGGGTAGGATGTTTGCCTATTCGCATGCAGGGGAGGACCACAGCGATGTCAGACAACCCACAAAACTAACGAATACACACAACACTTCCTGTGTGCCAGGTGCTGTTCTAAAACCTTTGTGCATATTAACACATCTGATGTTCCCAGCGCCCCATGGGAACGATAGTGTTAAAATTATCCCCAGTTTTCAAGGGAGCAAGCCGAAGCGCAGAGAGGGGTTGAGACCCTTGCCCGAGGTCACACAGCCAGTGCGTGATAGAGTCCATGCTTTTAAACACCGAGCTGTGATATAGGTGAGGATAAGACTGTGAGATCCTTTTGTGCCAAATTAAATATTTGTGCTTTATTCTTAGGCAATAAGAGGCCATGGAAATAACGTAAGAAAGGTTAAATTTGCAAATCTGAGTTTGTGGAAGATGGGTGGGGAGGCAAGAGGAGCCTGAGCCCAGTCCTCCCCCACCCCCACCCCACCCCTGAAGCCCTGCAGTGGTCTTCAGTGGACCACAAACGTTTGACCGCAGAGGGGCCCTCACCTCAGGGAGGGAGAGGAGGTGTGGGAAGTAAAACCAACC